CCGCTGGTCATCCTGAAGCGGAGCCGGTGATACAGGATTAAAGATGGCGGCCAAACAAGGACGGGAAAGAGAAACGGTCCAAACAGAGTCCGGATCGAGACGCAAAACGCACTTAATGCGGTTCTGTTTTGAAATATAAACACTCGACAAGCTGAAATTTAACGCTTTATTCAGCCAAGTTACATGAGCAGCGTCAACTTCTCAGTAAGAGGTTCCTGATGTGCTACGAAGGCAGAAAGGTTTTGATATTCCTCCTTCATTCTTCTTTCTGCTCCTCGGCGGTTACGTGTTTCATTAATGTCATCTTTTATTTCTGCATTCAGAAACGTGAGCGGTTCCTCTTTTGTTATATTTTATAAATATCTCTTGGTTTAATAACCACAGCCTGTACTTAATATAGCTGAAACACTGATCAAATATGATATTTTTTAAAATTTAGAAACATTTAGCCTTTTTTGTTGTGGAAAGACTTGATACAAGAGAAAACTCAGGTTTTTAAGAAAATGGCTGTTCAATGAATCATTAGTCGATTGATCAGATTAATCAACTTTAGATTAACTCATTAATAACTTGCATCCATGCTAAAGGGGGATAGATTACCCAGATATTGGGTCAACATATTTTTCCCAAGAGTAAAAACTAGCCGTCCAAGAAATTACTCAAGTAAGTGTAAAAAATATTTGGAAAAAAGACTACTGAAGTACTGAGTACCTCTAAATTACCAATCATTTAATATTTAACAATTACATCATCAGATGGACCAAAATATAAAGTTTAGTGGAAATATTGGTATGGTGCTTGTTTTTCATTCAGTGGGTAGAAAATCCAGAAATTTTACTCGAGAGAAGAGAAACTTCATAATAAAATTACTCAATTAAAAGTAAAATTACTCCTAAATTTTTTCAAAAAAGTTATTAAAGTAAATGTAACTATTTACTACCCATCTCTGCAGTTACAACAGAAAGAGCGACATGTGACGGTTACCACAGACACGGGGAAGCAGACGGTAACCATGACAACGTGGTGCAGCACCATGAGGAACTCGCGACGCAGGTAGCTCCTCACTGCTGAGCGCATGTGTTGGGGGGCCGCCAAGGCCTCCTCGTGACCTTTCACCCGCAGCTTGTACCAGTAGCACATGAACATGGCGTAGATGTCGTAGACGAAGTAGGGGACAGCAAACATGATGTAGGTGCTTGTGAGCCAGTGCCTGCACAGAAAGGAAGAGATGACGGTTTTTAAATCAAGGCAGTGATTTTATTTAAAGTTGATGATATTATTATTATTATCAGCAGTACGACTTACTGGTCCTCAATTATGTCCTTACAGGAAGATGCAATGATGTAGCCAGCTGAAGAAGCCATGACTGCCTGAATTGATGATACCAACCTGTGTGTGAGCACGGAAAAACAAAAAATAAATCAGAAAAGCTGTTTATTACCTCCCCATTTCTTTATGTTTAACCAGGGTTGTAATAGTTTAGAGCATGTGTCAAACTCGAGGCCCAGGGGCCAAATCTGGCCCTCCGTAGGTTTTTATCTGGCCCTCTAGAATCCAGATTACATCAATAAGTCAACAGTTTTTTACAAATTCGCAAAATTCATCCAAAATCAACAGATCCCCATGTTTTCTGACTTTACTGCAAATTTTTCTCAAAATTGGCCAAAAAACTTTGGTTTAAGTGACTGCTGGCTCAGCCTTACTTGATGTCAAGTCATAGTCTGTGATCAATGCGCCAATTAATAAACAGTCACATTTAGCATTACACATACATTAGCACAAATATAAAACTTCCTTACAAATATTTCTAAATTAGCACCACAAAATCTGTTATTTTGATTGCCCAAAAAACCACAAAAATCTGGAGGGACTGACCAGTGTGAAAAGATGTTCAATAATATTTAATTTTAGGAAACACTTATTGAATGCTCGCTACATTCTGGCACAACCGGCCCTTTAAGAACATTCAGATTTTTGATTTGGCCCAAAATGAAAATGAGTTCAACACCCCTGGTTCAGAGGTTTTTATTCAGTTAGTTTTATTTAGTTTGCTATGTTAGTATTCGTTAAGTATTGTTTAGTTTTTGTTGTACTGTTAATTTTTTAATACTTTGGTTAATTATTAGGTGCAGAACTCAAAAAAGTTAAATTATTAGGTATTCTTGCTGAATATTCAGCAGAAGATACCATTTTCAAATAATGTGTTCAATTATTGTTGAACAACAGCTGACTGGCATTATGGACGTCCATAACTTGCTTTGAAATGATTGAGCAAACAAATTTCAAAGAATCACTTCAGATCTTGATAACTAGAAGCTTTATTCTTAATAAAATTACTTTTTTCCTCTGAATTTTAAGACATTCTGGAAAAATTATGTTTCTATTCTGACTGCATTCTCTTCGTTAAATAAAAATCCTCAGTCTGGCCCTAAAACTCACAGAAAGGAATGATTGAAATAAAATCCAATTGTTAAAAATATTTTCTGTCATCTGTAATAGTTTTTTTTTTATTTTTTGGTTTAAAAACAATTCAACTTGGATCTGCAATGGAAAAAAATAGATTTTATTTTTAAGCCGGCTCTAAGTGAAAGTAACAAAGGTTCAGGAAGAACACTGTTCCAGTTGCCACGTTACATATAAACGTGTTGGAAGGTTTTGCGGAAGTCCGACCTGGCCGATACGATGACCGCATCTCCTTCGCTCCATCTCAGTGCTGGGATGGACTTCAGGCATTGTTTGGACAGAAGGAAAAGGCCTGGGAAGAACACAGAGCCAGCAGCCAAGATGGTCAGCATGGTCCCTGGCGATCTGTCTTAGGAGGCAAGAAGTTCGGCAGACAATCTGGTCCTTGAGATCTGTCGCTCTCTGTCCTCTCTGAAAAACACACAGAGAGGATGAGAGTTAACACCAATCGCTCACAAAAACAACAAAAAACCCAAGTGTTTACATTTGGCTGCGCTCACAAAGATAAGAGAAAGGAACACACTATCATAGTCCAACAGACGTGGCTGTACATTAAGCTAACCTCACTGATGAGACACAGAAATACAGGTCTGCATTACATTACCAAAAAGGATCATTTAATGGATAACATCAAAATCCTGCAAATGTTTTATATTTTTGGAGTAAATTGTGGCTACAACCAGGAGAAATCAGTGCTCCTGGTTTACAGACAGCCTAATTTACATTTTTTTTTTTGTTTTTTTTAAGTTTAAATATTAAAGCATAATAAAACAGGTCCTGACTTAACTGGGTTCATACAAACAAACAAAACTCCCAAAACCTATTATAGTGTGGAAATTAGACAAATCTTAAATTCTGACAATTTGTTAAAATATCTGAAAATATTGTTTAAAAAAAATACTGTTTTTGAAATTGTGAAACATACTGAGCTGAGTGAATGTTAACCCCAAGGTCAGATCATAAAATATTCAGATATATTAAGTCTCTGTTAGCATATTGCAAGTTAGCATTAGCCTAATACAACAGGAATAAAACTGAAGAACGGTTAACTTGGAAATCTGTTTCACCTAAGAACATCAGAACAGAATGACAGCTTGCAAGGTCACAAGATGAGAGTAAAGACATAAAAATGGCAAAAAAGAACAGTTGGATAAGAATTTTTTTAAAATGTCACATTAGGATCATTTTTACAACTGGGAGCAGCTGATTAGCATCTGAAAAGCTCAAAAAACATCTGAATTACAACCCCAGAGTGCAGAACCATAAAATAATAATCATATCCCCTACTCCAACATTTCTCTGCCTGGCTTTCTGACCAAAAACCCAATAAAGAGAAAAAGAGAAGCAGCAAAAGCAAATGAGGTGGATTAGCAGAGCTTGCCAACAACTAATGGTGTCATTCAGGACAAGTTGCTGAGGAATATTGTCTCAGCTGTGTAGATATTGAACTGTTAGCATCTCATTAGACTGTCACACAGAAACAATCTTCAGTCAGAGGCCTCTTCAGATTGATGGCAAGACTGACTGTTACTGGAGATCCTTCTTGCCCACATCACCGTCCAAAAAGACACTTTAAAGAAATTTGGATGAGTTGCAAGAATATTTAAATTCCCTTTGGGATAAATAAAGTATTTTTAGACTCAATACCAAACTAGATGGTTTAAAAATGGACGAAATTATGTATTCTGAAAGAACAATAATCCCAAACGTACCAAAACTGGTTGTGAGATAAACAGGATATTACAAGGCTTATTGAATGGGTCTCATCTTACGAGTATTGGAAACTTGTAGACTGTGCTTATGAGAATCAGAATAGGTGTTACTGGCCAAGATTATATGTATAAACAGGGAATGCGCTTGTGCTTATTTTGCCAGGTCACTGCCAAAAAAACAATCGAGTTAAATAAACCCCACCCTTTGTGCCAAGAAGAGGCAGAATATTACGCCAGAAACTTGCTGGTTGCTGCAAAAGGCGTGTGGGTGAGGACCAACTTGCTAAAAGTCTTAGAACCAAATAACAGTTGGATGTATGTAAATCACAGAAGAAAAAGAGACCTTGGAGGACTATCAGCCCAGCATTAGCATTCTGTAGACTGCCACTGGTTTTCCTGACGAGACGAAACAAAAGCAACAAGTATGATTTCCATATGAAGACTAGAGACAAAAGAGCAAAGATATTTTGCAAAAACAGGATCGAACAAAAGTTATCACATCTCTCAAGATTTAGAAAACAATAAACAAGAGCTGCAAAAATCTTTTTTTTTCTGATGCAAAAATGATTCCTTCAGTTTTTTCTTCCCTCTAATTGAAGAAAACTTTCAGCTTCTAATGTTGGTAAAATGTTCTACAGTTAAATGAAATGTATGCATTCAAATACCTAAATTAATGTCAACAATGATTGATTTAAATGTTGAATCCTGACCTAAACTTTAGTATACTTAAATGCTTTTTTCTTTTTATTGACCAAAAATCAACAGAATTTGAAGTTATAAACAGTAGTTTAACCTATGAGAATAAAAATACAGCGCCTCAGTGACAGAGATGTAAAATAATAAAGTCTGTGCGTCGTCCTCCATCATCCACCTGATACTACGGGGAGCATTTACCAGCTTCCTATCTACCCCATTACAAATATTGCAGTTTGCTTACACTACACTGGCTGACTCATTAAAAAAGAAAAAGTTCAAGTCCATTAGCAAAATGCGCAATGCGCTATTTTTTTTTTTAAATCGTCGAAAAATATTGACATTAGACGAGAGATCCGCAGCTCATTGTTCCTGCAGGAAAAACGTTAGTGTCACCTGTCTGTCTGGGAGGTGAAGCTTTATCGCAAACTAAAAATGGTAACACGTTAACGTGCGTCGAGAATAACTAGATTTGTATTTTAATATATTTTATGGGTGGGGGAGCTAATAAACTAAACTGGGAGAATAAAAAGGCAGATAAGAACTCGTGGAGTTACGCTAACTTAGCTGTGCGCTGCGTGTTCTTTTTAAACAAATTGACCAGCTAGTGAGGCTAACCTGCGCCAGAAGGATACGAACAAGTCAGCAACAAATTAATTCAATAAAAAACAATGACGTTTTGTTGACAATGTCAGAAAGCATGCTCCGTCATCAACATAACGAACCGGTTAACATTAAAATGACCGATTGTCTGCGCTGTTGAATCACCTGCTAACAATGACGATGCTACGACCGTTAGCGATTAGCCGAGTTAGCCACGATGTTGTTGGGGGACCCATTAATGCAAACACAGTTGAGGTTGTTTTAATAAAAATAACTCATAAATACAATTTCATTTCTTTTAATGTTTGTGGATATTTAATTACAGATGATATCATGGCATTTAAATGTTCTTTATTAGCTTGTTTGTTTGTAGCAGCCAGCTGCCGCAGTTAAGCCAATAACCCCTAGCTAGCACATCGGGAGTTTTGAGCATGTTCTGAATAAATATGAAACATTTACACAGCGGCTCTGCAGAGTCCAGTCAGCGTCCAACCGAAGGTCGTGTCCTGCGGGAAGCGTTTAAAGATATCCCAGGGGTCTCGGCCTCAATGCTCCGCATGTTTTATGTGGCCGCTTGAATGTTTGAAGGATAGCGGCGAGCTAACGCGAGCTAGCAGCAACTTTGATCAAAATCTCCGTGAGGTTAGCCCGATGGCAACTGATGTGAGAACCAGGCGGCGCAAACACTCAGCGTTATCTAACGGAAACACGTTAAACCCGACTTAAAGAGGAAGCTGCGCTCTGATGCAGCTGTATGGTTAGCGGATGCTGTCGCTATGTCATCCTCTCTCTGTCTCCCCACATCACACCAGAGATGCTGCTGCTGTCTCAGCCTCCCAGATGCAGCGTTGACTCAACACTGCTGCGCCAGCAGCCAGTTCCTACAGGTCTATGACGAGAAACGTGCACCAGTCACACATCTGCGTTTTTATGTAGGAAACAAGAGACATGTTGAATGGACTAGAGGCATAATCTGTTTACAAAATTCAGTTTATTCCCAGAGAACATCTGTTTGCAAAGGAAGCATTTAGGCATTATATTCGGGCACAAATAACCCTGTTATTGATTTATTTTTTAATTATGTAAGCATGTATTTAACAGGAAGTTTTACACAATTTCTTGTGCTTGAAGAATTTATAAATGGTACAGTGCTTTTACAGCTGTGCGTGTGATTATTCAGATGATTAGTTGAGTAACTGCATTAGAAAAAATGCTTTTCATTTAACCATTTAAGCCTTTTTTGTACAATATTTGAAATTTAATCAAAATGTGCAGATGAAAAAATAATTGAGCTCTTTTTTAAATAAAAAAATAAACATTTCATTGCAAGAATACATAGGTCTCATATGACATTACACTTCTGGGAACTTTGTAGCTGACAGCCATCTTGGTAAGCATCTGTAACATGACAGTTGCTATGGAATTGCTATGACAAGAATAAACAAGTCAATTAGAACTACCTCTCAACTCATTCCTATCTAATTAATAAATAACATAAGACTTAGTCACAGTTTTTGAGGACTCTAGTTACTTTTAGTTGGTCTCAAAGCTTTGAGCTGCGCTTGCCTACCAAGATGGCGGTTCAGAGGCACGGATCACTTCCAGTTCAGACTTGCGGGAACTATTTGTTCCTTAAGTGTACATTTATCTGGAACAAACTTCCAGAAAACTGCAAAACAGCTGGAACACGAGACTAAATCCCACCTGTCTAAGAGTTGATTTTTAACTATAATAAACGAAACTCTGACCAACATTTTGAAGCTTAACTGAAGCATGAAATGTGATGAAACTTGGCAAAATATAATATTTACTAATTTTCTCAACTGTTGACTGTCTTCTATGACTTAATTTTTTTTGCTTTTTATGATGTAAAGCACTTTGAACTGCCTTGTTGCTCAAATGTGCTATACAAATAAACTTTATTGATCAATTGATAATTTGTAGCAAAGGTTGCATGTGCAGCTAAAAAGCACTTCTATTATCCACATATGAAAAGCTCTATGATGGCGTGTTAGGGCCGTTGCTGATAGGGAAAAATTAATACGTTTCCACCAAAAAAAACTCAGACATTTTTAGATTAATCTAGAGATTCTTTTTTTAGGCAAAAACAATGAAACTGAAGGAGTTCAAAAAGTCACAAATTTTCTAGAAAACAATTCATCGTTTTAGATCTCAGGCATTTTCCAGAAAAAAAAGAACAAGAAAATTCCTGAGTTTCAAAAGTTTAACATTTTCAACTTTAAAACTAAAACATTCCTATGTTTTTTCTTGAAAATTTCTGAGATTCATTTGAAATTTTCAGATTTTTTTCTTGCAAAGTTTTGACTTTTGGAGCTCTGAAATTTTCTTCAGTTTTTTTCTAGAAAATTTTGGGGTGAAATATAAGAATCTACCAACAATGGACCTGAAACAGTTTTAGAAGCTCAACCATTTCTGCTCGGCTTGATATTAATACTATTTCAGGCTGATCTGTCGGTCATTATTTCAATTAACTGATTAATAAGGCCAAAAGGTACATAATGGTTTTTTTTAAACAAAATTTTAGCCAAATAAAGCTAAATCTATGCCACTCAAAGACTTCTGGGTAGAAAAAAATTAACAGATACGTTTTGTTTTTCATTCTAAATTCAGAATGCTAATATTATTTGTACAGTTTTGAGTCTGTACACTCCAGTTAATTGATTAGTAAAGTAGTTGTTTCAATTACCAATTCATCACGATCAATCCTAATTGCTTCATCCTTGCTATATAAAGCGATGTTTGAAATTGATGGACAATTTTTGATGTTTTTTCTGTAAAGCTAGTTTGTCTTTCTTATTAAAAATCATCTTTGGGACACTAAACTAACAACACAGGGGAAAAAACAGTCCAAACAGTAATTCTTGTTTAATATTTTTACTTTAAACTGTCCAAATTATAAAATAACATGATCTCTACTTGATCTACAAAAAAAAACAAACAACAAAAACAATGACTGCAATAAGTATCGATTTTTTTGCTCTAACAACTTTTTAGACATGCATACTGTTGAGAAATATAAAAATATAAATATAAATACATCCCCTTAATATTCTTAATGAATCCATGACTAAGATTTGAAATATTTTGTCATAAAAGAATTAAAATGCAGTTGAGTACGATAAGGCATTAAAGATGTATCACAAGAGCTGTACAGAAGCCTAAAGTAGAGGTATCATCATTATTATTTTTTTTAGTGTAATGGAGAAAAACTAAAATTAATTTGCAATAAATCACTATGTTTCTCAACAGGAAAAACACATTTTCAAAGAAAGAAACAACTACAGATTTAAAGGTAAGAAATGAACACAAAACAAACTGCACTCGTCTACTGTTAAAGTCCTTTTTTCCTTCGACTTAAAGTGACTTTTTAAGCCCTTTCCACAAAACGCGACAACTGACTGTTCATTACATGACTGATGCAGAAAACAAGTGCTATGCAGAAAGTTAAAAGACTAAATCTAAAAAAGAGTTTCACCCATTGGACTGGAACACAGAGAAAATAAAATAAAAAATAACTATGGCAATGACAGCTGCAATCAAATGAATGGCAATCTATGTGAAAAAATTCAGAGTAAAATCAACTTTTTCATAAATATTATCGTCTACAGCTAACTAACTTAGTGGAACTGCTAAATTTTATTCTCGTCATGACAGTTTTCTAACAATAAACATGGCCGAGCTTGCTTGGTTTATTTTGTTTTCATGCAAAAAGGTAGTTCAGAAGCCGAAGTGCTGATTAGCAGTTTTTTTTCCTGTGAAGGCCAGACCCAGAGAGGAAGACTCAGAGCAAAACAATCCGAGAAAACTCAAACCTCCATCCTTACCGAGTCCGACAGCTTTAAGGTGCTTGATGCTCCTGAATAACAACTTTTTTTTTTATTTCTGTACCTTTAGGAAACAGATGACCCATCCCCTACAGATGAATCTTCTGATTACCTTTATCTAGCGTTAAACCCTAATTTTCATCTCCGTCTTGTGAAATAAAACTACAAACATGCGAGAGGAGCTCAAACTTACACACACGCAAACACACAACTTCCCTTCCAACGTTTCTCTTGTTTCCTCCCCACCGAAACGTCTCGACACAAACCGTTTTGGATTTTCAGTATTCTCGGTAGTTGCTAACATGGAGGTAAGATCAGAGCTGGTGTGAGATTTACAGTACTTGGTACAGTAGACAGCAGCCAATGCCAAAAAAGAAGGGGGTTTAAGGGAGGAGAGGGAGAACCACGCTTTCATTAGAGTCTTCATTCAGAAATATTTGGACAGCACATCCATGTTTGTCATTAGTGTCGGTGAACCTGCTGCAGCTGCTTTCCAAGATGTCTTCTTTGATGCTCCAGCTCTGCAGCAAAACTTTTTAGATGTTTCTTCTCTCAAAGATTTCACCTCTAATCCCTAAGTGCTAATACAAAGAGAGGGGGATTCTCTGCAGACTCAAAGCAGGCGTTTCTAAAGAATAGATGGTTCTACAGAGCAAACACTGATTGGCTTGTTCCAGTAACAGAAATCTTTCAGAAACATGCTGAAATAATTCATCTGTGGTGACTGCTTTAAAAGTTGGACAAGAAGATAAGAAGTTGAAGAAGGTCTCAAGCCCAGTTTAAGTAACATTATTTTTTGAATGATAATTTTATTTTTATTTATTTGTTTTTAGCTATTTATGTCAGTGTCACATTATTTTAGTAACAAAAACAGATTCAATTTTTTAATGTAAAGGCAAATTTTGCATCTAGTCAACATTTAGCCCTCTTTACTGATAAACATCTCTTAAAAAATCAAAGCTGTTTGATATTAAAACGTAATTTATGTTGATGCTTTTATTTTGAAACGTAACCGGACGTTCACTGGTAAAAGAAGGCGGAAGGAGAAGTTATGGAGACGCCGCTAATGTCCGGCCGGCTAACACAATCACTCTGTCGTTATTAATGCTTAATAAGTCTTCTACCTTGGTTACAACAGTGAGATCGTGAAATTGACGAAATAAATTATGATCCGATACCGGACAAGTTAGCTAAATGATATTAATAAAATGTCGAATGATGGACGTTAATTTCGTCTTGGTTCTTAAAAAACGACTACTTTGACATGCTTGACCAATCATTTTGCGCTTGATTTTGTTCGTCCAATCAGGCGTGGTCCTTGTTCTTTGCTTGTCTAATCAGGTGAGGCTCTTGTGAAACGTCTTCCTTTGGAAACGCCTACTTCATCTGCAGACATACCTACTTGAATAAAAACGGAAAATAAAACATTAAACCGGGTCAGAATCAACAAGTAACCGTCCCGGGACTCGCTTCAGATCAATCCTGCTAACTGTGGGACTGAGGCGCCGCGATGCTAGAGCAGTCCGTGACGAGCAGGTCCACCACCGTGTTCCCGGTCACGTACACGGTGGGCGCCGCCGTCACCATGTTGCTCAGGGAGACGGAGCTGCTGGCGGCCACGTTGGAGGTGACGGGAGTCGGTGCGGCCTGGCTGGTGCTGTGGGTTCCCATGTGGCCCTGGAGCTGGGTGGGCGTCTTACACTGGACGCCGCACAGGTGGCAGACGAGGACGCCGCCTGAGGCCGTGCCGCCGAAGCCGCCGGGGCTCTCCTTCCACTCCTGGCCATGGTGCTTCTGGGCGTGGACGCGGAGATAAGTCAGCGTGGTGAAGCCTGGTGGAGAGCAGGTGTCAGAGCAGGTACTTTTCCATAACTAACCGTTTACTACAACGGTGTATTAGTGCCAAAGTACTTAGAAAAAGAGGTTACATTTTCACACACACAGGAAAGAAAACATAACATTATTTAGATCAATCTGAGGTCAGAATTTTACGAAGGTGTATTAAGACAGGAGAACATTTTCTAGAAAAAAGATGGAAATTTCTGAGCTAAAAACATCAAACCTTTGCTAGAAAAAAAAACTGGACATTTTTGATGTTTAAAAATTTTCAGTTTTTCTAAACTT